AAAAAAAAAATTTGACACTAATATTGGAAAAGTTTTAAAAAATTATTTCGGTAATACAATAATACAGTTACAGATTATTGGTAACATTTCACTTGATTTTATCGCTGTTGATGTTCATGTTGCTTTCACTTCACTGTACATATCTGGGCATCTAATTTTCTGTGGCTGCATAGCATCAAAATTATTACATCCGATAACAGGGTTTTAGATACAGAATAACCAGATGATTCAAAGACTGAACAGTATCGTATTGTGAGATCTCACGTAAAATTAATATTTTAAAGTATAACAGGGTCGCTATCAGGGCAGTTACAGCCACTTCAACCGCTTCCGATTGCCGTACCGGCTAGCGGTAGTTTAACCGCTTCAGCTATCCAACTTGGTGTATCAGCGGTATTGGATGTGCAAAAGACATCCGACAATATACCATATCTTCGGGTGGTATCATGTTCGTTGTTTGAAGGTAATGTTGGTGCACGAGTGGAAAATATGGGATTGATCAATGAAATTGTGAACACTAAATATCAGGTTTGATTAATTGTTTCTTATTCAATTTTTTTCCCTACTCTTTTGCAATTCTTTGGACACTTATTCTTTTTTTTTTTTGATAAATTTTATGAAATTTCTGACAGAGTAATAGCAGAAAGAAAAAAAACTTGAGAAGTTAAGGAAACATAGTTTTGTATTGGATTGTGATATTGCTTCAGAATTATATTAGCAAAAACAGAAATTATTTGATGGGATATTTGTCTAATAAATGTTCAGTTTATCAGAAAAAAAAAGAATTTAAATTATTTTTATTGTTATTATTTCTGTTACTATTATTATAGTTGTTTTTTTTTATTTCTTCTATATTAAGCTTATTATTATCAGTTAATTTTAGTCAGCAAATCAGTTGTGTTGACTTTGTTTCAAAAGCTCTTTTGTTGAGAAGAATTTTGTTTACCATACTGGAATTATTATTATTATTATTATTATTATTATTATTATATGTGTTTTATTCACAATTTTTCCTTTTTTATGTCAATTACATAGAAAAAAAATAACTGTTATGTATTTTCACAGATACAAAAAATAACAAACCTATCTTATTTGAACAACTGATTTCAACGACATTGCTACAATTGCTGTATTTTCCTAAGCTGTTTTTTTGGCAGCACTGTATTCTGTTGAATTTTTTATACTACTGTTGTACTCGGTGATGTTACCGATACTATTGATACTACTGCAGTTGAAGTTTACTGCTGCTGGTGGTGGTGGTGCTGCTACTGCTGCTGCTACTGCTGCGGAGAAGGATTCTGGCCAAAGAACTGAGAACGTGTTGTACAATATGCTAAACTGAAGCGCATTTTCCTTTTTTTTTTGCGTACTCTTTTGTAGTGGTTTTTTTCTATGTTTGAACGAAAACAAC